CGTGTGAAAATCATTACAATCACGTGAATTAAAAATAGGAAAATGCCGACTCCAGTACGCGTAAATACCGTATATTGCGATTGTTTTAACATCGCAATCGAGCCGATCAATACTAACCACGAGAGTGCGATCAAGTGAAAAAATATCAGTTGAAACCCTCGGGTATACCTTGTAAGCCTACATCGGACATTTTAGCGCATAAAATGTATAAGGGAAAAGGTATAGCTCGGAATCGGTCTACCCCCTCGTTGTTGTTGTTGTTCTCTACTTGCACACGTGTAAACATTGTACCGACACTACAGGGGGCACAGCCGAATTAAACCATAGGTACCTTGGATTTCATATTTAATGATTGTTATTCATTTGGCTATTGATACACTTTTATGTCCATTGCATGATATTTATGTACACTGCATCCACGACTCGTGTCAACCGTGGAGTTGGAAAAAACAAAAAAAAAATCGGTATCAAAGTACGAGAACGTTTAGGGGGTTGGGAGCGGGGAGGGGGGTTGAAAAGTGAAGTACAACAAGAGAACAATGTATGTATAATAAACGATATGAGGGGAAGGAGGAGGAGGAGGTAGGCGGCTCGGTCGCTCGGCAGTACTCGGCAATGCTCGTCCTTACAGGTATATATTATATACGCGGTATGTGGCAGGCGGGGCGGAGCTTAGGCGGGGTCGATATCTCTCTCGGCCGTGTTTCCCTCCCTCCTCGCTCTCCCGCCCTTGACGACTCCCACTCCCACCGCGGTTATCTCTCTTTCTCTCCGTACATACGTATACACACGCTCTGTACGGCGTACCTACTCTCTCTCTGCGGCGTTACGTGTATAGCGGGTACGGTGTGCATAACGTTCTCCCTCTCTTTCGCATCCGCTCTTTCTGTATATACATGTAGCCATCAGAGGGAGAGAGAGAAAGAGCGCGACACAACACACAGAGATAATAGCCGCCACCGAGCGAGCGCGCGCGCGTCGTCGTGGTGCTTGCTCCTCGTCGTCGTCGTCGTCGTCGTCGTCGACAACCGCGAGTCCATCAGCTGGCGAGCTCGCTAGTGTCGTACCCTCGGAGAGACGTTTCTCGTGATTTCAGCTCCTACAGCCTCCGCGGAAGCTTTTCGGAGCCCAGAGGACCGGAGCTCCAAAATCATTAAGTGGCGCAGCATGTAAAGGTGCGTTGAGTTGACTCCCTATACACACCTACTTTGCTCATCCATATATTTATGTGTATACATATATGTATATATATGTATTTGTGTGACACTCCGTATATGCATGTATACACACACTCATGGTCACACCAACATACATACACATACCTGTACACAACTGTGCACAGATACGGAGAAGCGTATAATAATACACATAGTCAGGGCAGGCACGTAGTTGCCAGATATTGGCCGCGAGAGCGGCGGTGTTGCCGAGTCGCGGTAGTCGTGGATGCCGTAGCCGTGATCCCGTAGTCAAGTTCCTCGAGTGTGCCAACCGGAGGAAGCGAGACGGAGGTGGAGCGCTAATCTGCGGATACCTTGGTCGCGTCGTTGCCACGTCTGCATAATACTAATATAGCGCTCTCTCTGCAGCTTCTTTTTTTTTTTTCCCTCCCTCCCTCTATAATTATACGGTATATAATATTAATGTTCATGAACTATACAACAAACAAAATGGAGCAGATAGATAGTAAGCATATAACATTTATATTGAGTGAAATGTATATAGGTATGGGATAGACATGTAATATATATACATATATACTCACGTTTCGGAGCAGAAGTCTGCTACTGGTGATCCTCGCTCTCGCACTCGCAGTTTGTGCGGTGCAGCAGCATCGTGGTAAACATAACCCTCCTGGATGTACAAAATGAAAATTCGCTCGTCACTCGTTGTACACAATGTAATTTATTTTCCGACAAAACTACGAGCCACCGCCACTATCGTATGTTGCACTCACTGGCTCACGTTCTCGTACCATCACTATCTCCACCATCATCGTCGTGTCATCAGTGTGTATATATCAACCATATAACACCGAACTGTCGTGCTATACTATATAACTTCATGGTATATATATACATGCATCACCACGTATATATATATATATACTATGATAAACAGCCGTGCGAAGTACACAAATAACAATAAGAGAAGTAAGTTAGTATGTATAATTTTTTACTAACGTCGTCCCCGCCGTCATCGTGCAGGTCGTGCTCTCGGGTCTGTTCCCCTTTGTCTGAGCGTTAGCTGCATGGCAGCAGCAGCAACAGCGGCATCACAGGAACGCGCCTCTCTTTTGCCCCATCCGTCGAGTCTACCCAACGATTCTTTTTTTNACCACGATTAAAAAAAAAAAAAAGGTTACTGACGTGGCGCTTTCGGTTTACCACAGAATTTTCGGGTGAAAATAACCGGTAACCCCTTCTAACTCGCTATGCAAATGCGTATCTATACGACCACCAGGCAACTCGAACGTAGACACGCACACTCGGAAAAATGTTTTGAAAACTCGAATGCAATGATGAGTCATACATTTTTCTCGAGGAATGAGGAAATCTTCCTCATAAAAGGATTCTTTGCTTCACAGATGAGCCAGTATGGGTGTGTAGGTGTACGTGACCACTTCAGAATTCGGACAATCGAATCGTAAAGTTACGGGGGTATGCCCCTTTCGAGCGGCGTAAACAGTGTTATGCGTGCGTCGGTCACGTGTTTTGAACCCCCGGACTCGCACTTGGAAGTTATTTATTGAAGTTGCCAAAGTGACGCACCACACCGATCTTTCCAGCCGTTAGCTGCCGATTTCGTTAGTTATCCCCGAGCTCGCACCTCGTGAACATCCATCGCTTTCAAGTTCAAAAGTTACACCTATTACCACTTGCGTGGAGTTTTTACACCGATTATTCACTTACGAAAGAATCCGCTCGATTGGTGTACAACTTGTTGCGCCTCGGCTTCATCCAGCGGCAGGTATACCGATCTTTTTACACACCACTACGGCATCGCGAGACTATAGATTTAAACGACAACGTATAGGCTATTTTGTCTTTGGCGTGTGAAAATCATTACAATCACGTGAATTAAAAATAGGAAAATGCCGACTCCAGTACGCGTAAATACCGTATATTGCGATTGTTTTAACATCGCAATCGAGCCGATCAATACTAACCACGAGAGTGCGATCAAGTGAAAAAATATCAGTTGAAACCCTCGGGTATACCTTGTAAGCCTACATCGGACATTTTAGCGCATAAAATGTATAAGGGAAAAGGTATAGCTCGGAATCGGTCTACCCCCTCGTTGTTGTTGTTGTTCTCTACTTGCACACGTGTAAACATTGTACCGACACTACAGGGGGCACAGCCGAATTAAACCATAGGTACCTTGGATTTCATATTTAATGATTGTTATTCATTTGGCTATTGATACACTTTTATGTCCATTGCATGATATTTATGTACACTGCATCCACGACTCGTGTCAACCGTGGAGTTGGAAAAAACAAAAAAAAAATCGGTATCAAAGTACGAGAACGTTTAGGGGGTTGGGAGCGGGGAGGGGGGTTGAAAAGTGAAGTACAACAAGAGAACAATGTATGTATAATAAACGATATGAGGGGAAGGAGGAGGAGGAGGTAGGCGGCTCGGTCGCTCGGCAGTACTCGGCAATGCTCGTCCTTACAGGTATATATTATATACGCGGTATGTGGCAGGCGGGGCGGAGCTTAGGCGGGGTCGATATCTCTCTCGGCCGTGTTTCCCTCCCTCCTCGCTCTCCCGCCCTTGACGACTCCCACTCCCACCGCGGTTATCTCTCTTTCTCTCCGTACATACGTATACACACGCTCTGTACGGCGTACCTACTCTCTCTCTGCGGCGTTACGTGTATAGCGGGTACGGTGTGCATAACGTTCTCCCTCTCTTTCGCATCCGCTCTTTCTGTATATACATGTAGCCATCAGAGGGAGAGAGAGAAAGAGCGCGACACAACACACAGAGATAATAGCCGCCACCGAGCGAGCGCGCGCGCGTCGTCGTGGTGCTTGCTCCTCGTCGTCGTCGTCGTCGTCGTCGTCGACAACCGCGAGTCCATCAGCTGGCGAGCTCGCTAGTGTCGTACCCTCGGAGAGACGTTTCTCGTGATTTCAGCTCCTACAGCCTCCGCGGAAGCTTTTCGGAGCCCAGAGGACCGGAGCTCCAAAATCATTAAGTGGCGCAGCATGTAAAGGTGCGTTGAGTTGACTCCCTATACACACCTACTTTGCTCATCCATATATTTATGTGTATACATATATGTATATATATGTATTTGTGTGACACTCCGTATATGCATGTATACACACACTCATGGTCACACCAACATACATACACATACCTGTACACAACTGTGCACAGATACGGAGAAGCGTATAATAATACACATAGTCAGGGCAGGCACGTAGTTGCCAGATATTGGCCGCGAGAGCGGCGGTGTTGCCGAGTCGCGGTAGTCGTGGATGCCGTAGCCGTGATCCCGTAGTCAAGTTCCTCGAGTGTGCCAACCGGAGGAAGCGAGACGGAGGTGGAGCGCTAATCTGCGGATACCTTGGTCGCGTCGTTGCCACGTCTGCATAATACTAATATAGCGCTCTCTCTGCAGCTTCTTTTTTTTTTTTCCCTCCCTCCCTCTCTCTCTCGTTTTTCTCTCGCCCATGTGTAAGAGAGAGTGAGGCACCCCCCTCGGACCGGTAAGCTCTCTCTGCCTCCATATCTTATTTGTATACCTATGTATCTATCCGCGACTCCGTTTCGTACCAACATCCGTATACATATATATATATTTTATGTACGCGACTGATAATGACTCTCGGGCCGCTCCAAAAGAAGAGTGTCGGTGTTCGCAGGGTCTTTCGAATCGGAGTTTCGGAGCGCAGCATGTGTTATATGTTATAAGCAACCAGTGGTGGTGGACGTGCGTGGTAAATAATAATGTGCCTATGTATAGGTGTCTGTACTGTCTGTAGTGCCGACTTCGCTGTCGTCGTCCTCGAGGAGGGGAGTATAGTTTCGTTACCGAAGCACGCGCGTCAAAAGACAGCACGGCACACATTGCAACAAGCACACTCGCTCCCATCGGTGTGTGTGAAGGCTCGCGCCGCTCTCTCTCTCTCTCTCGTTCCAAGTAGAGGTGTGTGTGTGTGTTATGTATATACCTGTATCCTCGTCTCGCTCTGACGCACGTGACTTTTAAATGCCCGCGCCCGGCTGCTGTATATACATATACACATATACGTATATAAACGCGTAGAGTGCTGTCGCGCTGCAGGCTGTGCTGGCGCTCGGCGCCCCGTTGCTCCGAAAAGTGCCGAGCTTTAAGAGTTATATTTTTTTTCTTTTGTAAGTATGCTGTGTACCTATAAGTACTTTGTTATGTACTTACCATGATGTTCGCTTCCGTCTTTGGTGCTGAGTTGTTTTTTTTTTTTTTCCGTCCCGGCTACCCGCGCGAGAGCGGGACACGAGCTTTTCGCTGATATGTTGTTACGTGTGACGCTCTGCTGAGTGGCTTAAACCAACGCTGGAATTGTTGCGCACGGAAGGCTCGGAGCTTCTGTTCGAGAGCCGCGGTGATGAGCTTCTGTACCTATTTGTCCATGGCTCGTTCTCTTGGCTTGTGAAAAGTGCGGTTTCAACGAGAGGTAAACAATAATTTGTTATTACTTCGTGATTTGATTTGTAAGTTCCCCCCTTGATTGTATTATCCCTTAAATTTCAAAGGGTACTTTTTTCCCCCGGGAATGTTTTCGATAATCGACGTAACAAGTATTTTTCCTCCCGTGAAAATAATTGGGTTAGATTATGTGCAGTTGTCATACATTTTGAGCCTTAATTTGATATCAAGTTGATGTTTAGAATCGCCCGTCAGAGAGGTTAGAATACCGAGGTAATGTTTTTGTTTAACCGTAACAGACTTAAAAAAAGCAGTAGTTTCCGGTGATCGTTGCTCTACGAAGCTGTTGATTGAGTGGTATTCGTTGATCCTGATGATAATTTTACTTTATTTACTCCGTGTGTTCGAAATGGGAAAGCGAGGTTAGTTGGTATCCTACACTGAGAGGATTAAAGCTCGAAAGCTCAGTGAGTTACTTATACGTGAAAAGTGTTCCTTCGAAGCGACAAAAGAAAAGAAAAAGTATTCCTTTTCTCTGTAAACAAACTATTTGAAAAAAAAAAAAAAAAAAAAAAAAAATTCGTACNAAATGATATTTTCTAATATATAATATACATTTCAACCGAGTCAAATTTTTTCGTTTGTTATGATTGCAGTGGTGGCTGGGTTTTATATAGAAGAAAATCGTTTTATCCCCCGTTGGATAGACGACACACGTACACGTCTCGGAAACCTTTTTTTATCCTTGCCTAATATGTGTTCGCAGACTGTCGGTCGTGCATTATCTATCGCATGAAAAACGGCCCGAAAACCTGTCCGGCCTGCGACACGATAGTATTCGTACGATCGAATAATTGCCGCGTGAAGAAAAAAAAAAAAAAAAAAGCTCAGCCCACCCTGCCCGTGTACTTGATAAAGTGCATCTCTCAGCTCGAAACAGATGTTGACAAGCTGCACGCGCTCACTTGTGGAGGTGAAACACGCATCATGTATGTACATATACTGTAAGCCAGATGCCGGCTCACATTGTAGGTATATCGTACAAGGTACAAGTATTATATAGTGCTTGTAACAGCAATAACGGCACGCACCACGCTGAAGATGATGCGGAGGGCACGCGCGCGTGTACGCGTGGGTGTGCTTTATATATATACACACGATATGTCTAATATATGAATATAGCTATATATAACACGCCCACGAGCACTACTTGGTATACGACAGCATCGCTCGATAATATCCGGCGACGAGAGAGCGAGGAGGCTCTTTTCATCCTACGGGATGTTGATCAATTCGCTGCTGCTCTGCTTCAATGCTTTATGTACCTATATGTAGTATCATATGTGCAGCGCTTGCCGGCTCCCTTCGCGGACGCGACATTTACGTTTTCTGCAGTGTGTATATTTATTGGCGCAGCACGAATGGGTTACGCGCTTCCAAAAATGTCAGTCGTGTATTCCCTCTTCTGGGACAAGGAAGAGCTGTACACATGTTGTATACCTATAGAGAGAAGAGAAGGGCTCCCTTGAGTTTGCCTCCGCAATGGATTCCGCACCAAATGTATANTTTTTTTTCTTCGCGTTATCAACGTAGGGAAAATATTTGTTGCTATTATACGGACCCTCCAGGGCGAGTAAAGGTGTATGGAAATTTAATTTATGCATGAACATGAGAAAATAATATTAGTTGCGCGTGAGTGAGCAAATTAAGAAAAAAACAAAAAAAAAAAGTAATGAATTGTGTTTATTTTGAATATATTTATGAATTTAGTAAAAGTTTTTTTTTTATTCAGCTTCTTTTACGTTTAAATTTTCCCCTTGTACTCATGGTTATCAGTTTTATGATGTTGTTTTTTTTTATGGCTCAGTTCAAAAGGTGTTTTAAAATACCGTACATATAATGTACCCAATCGTGAAAAAACTGTTCTAAAGCTTCAAAAATTACTTAAATTTTTACATGCTTAGATACGTCCTAAATGAACCCCAAAAAATTTTAAATGAAGTAATGTATCGAAAGAAAATTTTCCAATTGTAAAAAATCAATGTTTAAAAACGCCATGTCAATTTTTTCCTAAAAAAAAAAAGACCTGATATGAGATTTAAATAGCGCGGCGGTGCAAATTTTTTGTACGAAAAAAAACGAGTACAAAAATTTAAGCAATTTTTAAAGCCTGAACACGATTTTTGTTTATGGTTCCACGCATAAACGTTCTTTTCCTTCCTCTGATGTACATTGAGGAAACGTAATGAATACAGCGCTTTTGACGCGACGATCGATTCCATGCGATTAACGATAAACTATGCAAGTAGACGGGGGTTGACGAAGTGTATGTTGTACGGTTATACATAAGCACATAGTCGATAACGAGATGATCACTTGTCAAAGGCATGAATTACAGTGTTTATACCTCAACCATACCACAACAATAATGTTTTTCGAAACGACATCATCACGAAGCAATAATAACAGTTTTAATGACACTTAATGACACAAAAATAATAATGATAATAACGAAATAAAAAAATTATTCACCAACAAATCGCGTTGTAATTTCCCGCGTGGAATTCCAACATCGAATAACTTGGAATATCGCAACAAGACTTGGAGACCCAGAGCAAAGGCAAATCCTCGCGCCAGTCGGACACTCAACCCAATATGTAAAACAAGCCGTGCAAAAAACACACGCGAAGTAGCGTACGATATCGCGCGCGTTCGATTTATTAACGACCGCGAGGAGAGAAAACGCTCTGTCTCCACAAAAAAAAAAAAAAAAAAAAAAAAAAAGAACCAATTAAAAGACAAGAAAAAAAAAAATCTTCACGAGTGCCGGTACACACGAATACATTACAAAGAGTATGGGCAAAACTTGTTTTCCCACAGGGCGTAGGAGAGAAACACGAGGAGCAAGAAGCCGTCGCCCGTAAGATCCAATGGCACAGCCACCGTGCACGAGGCAGAGGGAGCTGCTGCAACAACAGCCACCCTGCAAGGATGCCAACAGCCAAGGATGCACCAGCAACAACAACATCGACAGCCACACCGTCGGCAAATCGGTGACTCGAAAGACCAAGGGTAGCGCCGTTGGCGGCAAGCCCTTCGTGCGCGACCTCAACAAGCACATACTCTGTCGGCTCTGCTTTGGCTACCTCATCGACGCGACCACGCTCGTCGAGTGCATGCACTCTTGTTAGTATCTTTTTATATACTCACACGTATGTATGTACTCACTCGCTCCCTCACTCATACCTGTGCCTTTCTTTTTTGTTGTCGCGTAACGCAACCATACCTATATACATATTATATAGTGTACATGGCAGCCGATCGATTCCGCTAAAACGCGAGAAAACCTGATTGCCTGCCGATCCCCTCCCTCTCCCGATACTCGTTCCCTTCCACGCACGTTTTTTTTTTTTTTTTTTTTCCGTTCAGTTTCTCGTTTATTTCTCAATTTCTCCGCGCTTGCGTTTGCATCGGGATCGATCCTCCTCATATTTGCGTTATTTGCGACGAGTCAAAATAAACAATGAATTAAAGACAACATCCCCTTCCCTTCCGTCCTTGCCTAATATGTGTTCGCAGACTGTCGGTCGTGCATTATCTATCGCATGAAAAACGGCCCGAAAACCTGTCCGGCCTGCGACACGATAGTGACAAGCCGGCCCCGCCCGGATGTCGCGCTCCAGCGGCTCATCTACCTGGCCGTGCCGGGTCTGTACAAATCCGAGCTCGAGCGCCGTCGCAACTTTCACCTGCCGATCCCGAACTTCCAAAACCCCGGCACCGGCCAGCTGCCCCAGGGCGCCCCTGAACTGTCGTACGACGACTTGGTCAGTCTGAGCCTGTGCCGGCTCGACCTGCCGGCCGCCACGCGCTACCTCAAGTGTCCCGCCGGGGTCACGGTGAGGCACCTTCAGAGGCTCCTCATGCTCAAGCAGGGCTGGCAGGACGAGGGTGGTGGTGGCGGGCCTCGACAAACCGGCAACGCAAAGATCGAGATTATGCACGAGCTCGAAGAAATCGGCGCCGACTCCGAGTTCGAGATACTCGAGCCCTCCTGGACCCTCATGGATCTGGCCTGCATCTTCAAGTGGTCCAAGGTGAGAAGCTCTCCCTCTCTCTTTTTATTTTAGTTCTACCGATTTTTTCAACGCGTTCTACCGATTTTTTCAATAAAAAAAAAAAAAAAAAAACCTTCCTGGCCTGTTGCTTCCAGGAAGCACCGATGAGGCTCTTTTATCGAATCGCACCGCTGGACGAGCCCACGATCGACGGACAGCTGATCAGCGCCAGCACAACCATCAGTGACGACGGCAACGTGGACGCCACAAATTCAGCGATCGAGAACATCCAGAGGCCACCCACGCCTCCTCCGAGCCCGAAGCCTCGCGACCCGCCGGAGAAGAGTCCGCGACCGGTAGTACTGTTACCCGCACCAACGACACCGACGCCGACGATTCCGACGCCGGCCGTACCGAGTACTGTTCCGTACTCAAGCTCGAAGGACCGGGAGACGAAAAAGACGCCGCGCTGGGTGGTGCCGGCGACCCGATCGCTCGACTCCCCACTGGTCGTGGAGAGCCGATCGCGGTCCGGAAAGTTACACAGGCTCGAGCACCACAAGCGCAAGAAGCGGCGGAACAAGCGCATCATCGCCGAGATCACGAGGCCGCCGCAGGAGGACCTGCTCAAGCTCAAGGTACGCCTGACGCCGTGCCCACCTCGGATAAGCTCGACCTCGAGCCAGAAGGACAAGCTCTCGCAGATGCGAGCGGTGCGCAAGGAGAAGACGAAAGACGAGCCGGAGACGGTAGAACCACCCAAGCCCCGGCCTCCCGAAAAACCGAGTCCCAAGCTCGAGGAGGCATACAAAGTCCCGGAAAAGAGGAGGAAGGAGGAGGCGGAGGTGGAGGTGAAGGTGAAGAAAGAGGAAAAACCCGTGGTGGTCGCTGCTGCCTCCAAGCCGAGCTCGACGGAGAAGAAAACACCGCAGCCCGAGATCGTACCGGAGACGAAGACGACCGTGGCGAAACCACCGCCGTCACGACCACCTGCACCGCCACCGCCACCACCCCCTCCGGTCAAGAAGGAGCCCGAAGAGGAAATCAAGCGGCCGGAGAGAGCAGAGACACCGAGGAACGAGGAAGTGTTGCGGAAGCTGGGCCTCGTGGCGGTCAGCGAGGCCAATAGGACGAGGCAGGAGCGCGCCAAGAGCCCGTCGCAGGCCAAGAGCGAGAAGAGCGATCCTGCCGTGGAGCGCGAGAAACTCGAGAAGCAGCTCAAAGAGAGCAAGGCGAACCGCGTGCGCAGCCTGCTGGCCGAGAAGCAGATGCGGGACACCCTCAAGAGCATCATGTCCAAGGAGACGAGCAGCTCGAGCGCGCCACCCCCGTTGACCCGCTCCGCCACTCCCACGGTCGGTGCGAGCAAGCGTAAGGACGTACCGCCGCTGACGCCTCTGCGGGGACCCAAGCGGCCAACCGTCACCTTTGCTCCAGCCGCTTTTACGATCAACAACAAGTACGAGTCGCCGCTGGACCTCAGCAGCCAGTGCAAGGGTGGCATACTCGACTTGTCGCCTGGTCTGTCGGACGAGCTGACCATCCGTAGGTGTGGCCCGGACGAAAAGCCGGTCAGCATTCTCAGGATCGGCGGTGGTACAAGTGGCGGATGCGGTGGTAGTCGACAGGTGGCCGTCAAGCCGAGGGAGGAGCTGGTGGTCAAGAAAATCCAAGAGTCGAACCTGCGCACGCTGTCCGACACGGCGGTTTCGCTTTTGGGTGGTGGCTCCTCGCCGGACAAGGCCAGGCAAGCGGCGACCCAGAGCTTTTTGAGCCCAATCGGGGCGGTGGGGCTAGCTGGTGCAGCGGGCAAGGTCGCTCTGAAGATCCCGCAGCCGCATCAGAGGATCACCGGCTTTGGCATTAAAATCAAGCCCAACGTCGGAGTCAGGCATATTCCCAACCCACAGGCTATCGCCACTTCCCAGTACAGGAACCAGAGGACCGGCTACTACAGTCTCGCTCACCAACCTCCATAAGTACGAAACTAGGGTAATGTAATTGTGTCATGACTACACGTACGTTTTCGCTCAGTCTCTATACCTCACCTCTTCCCACGCTGCGTACCACGGCGATGAGCTACGTACGCGTGTTCACGTGTCGCATTTGAGATGTTGGATCGAACGACCCAGCGTGAGTGCAAGTTTACCGGGTCTCTCCTTTTATTGTTTTATAAATAAATAAAAAGATTGATTTTTTTTTTTTTTCCATTAGAGTTACGTACGAATTATAGTCGAGTATTGTTTATTCTTCGATAGTAGCTAAATGGATTTGTACATGTGCAATATAGGTGTTTATAGGTAGCGGGAGAGAGGTGATATTAATGTGTGATTATTAAGGGTGATGCTGACTTTAAAGTTTCTTCACTCGGTGAAAAAATTTGATGAAAGAAAATGATATTTTCTAATATATAATATACATTTCAACCGAGTCAAATTTTTTCGTTTGTTATGATTGCAGTGGTGGCTGGGTTTTATATAGAAGAAAATCGTTTTATCCCCCGTTGGATAGACGACACACGTACACGTCTCGGAAACCTTTTTTTATCCTTACATGTACACGAAATTTCGATAAATAATATTGAGTAAAAAATTTCCACACATTACATGACTTTTTAACAAAATTTTAAATTTAAATGAATTTTTATCGAAAATTCTTTGAAATGAGATTTTTCTTTCGTCCATTACTAATAGTGGGATATACAACTTTTTAGAGATTATTGTTTCTAAGCGTCTATCCAACGCAATTTTTTAGAGACGATGGTATTCGAATTTATTGTGATATAACAAAAAAAAAATATATCGTCAAATAATACATAAAATGCTTTTACAAAACAAAATTATAAATATGCTTTGGAGGGTCGGTTTAAAGCCATAAAAGATAATATAAAATAAATGAAACGAGATTAACATGCACGAGGGAACAGTTTAATGATTTTATACACTAAATTTATCACGAAACATCGTACGTACTCAAACACTCGACCAATGTTGAAATATTTGCTGTCGTTCCTAGAAAGATGAATATATAGTTCCTCGTAAATTAAAGACAAGCAAAAAAGAGTTTAGGGTTGCAAAAATCCCTATGATATTACGATATACTTATATGTCAAAAGCCAAGTTCACGAGTGCATGACCCAATGATGATAATAATAAATAATAGCCTACCTATTTTACGAAGCACACAAATATTACCCTCCATAAGCATATTTGAGAACCAAATTCTCAATCAGTGGAATAAAAAATTTCGTTAATGTTTGAAGAAGAAAAAAAAAGAAAAAAAAATACAAATTGAAAAAAAAAAAAAAAAAAGGTAAACGAAATAAAAGTGTGTAAAACATCTGATTTACTGTGTTTCATGTTTTTACGCTCTTTCTGGCACTTCATCATATCCTACGTGTAAACCAGTGCCAGAACAGATGCAGCTGACGATTAGCATGTAAGTGATAAATAGATGTACACGTAGGTTGGCAGAACTCGAACGCGCTCGCGCGCGCACATCGGTACACGTATACCTACTTACGTAGAAATACTTACACACTCATCTTGAAGCATATAACACGGGAGCAGCGAAAAGAAAGAAAGAAAAAAAAATAAAACATCCGCTTGAATAACGGGCAAACGCAGAAATATCGTTGAACGTTCCATTTTGAATGGACGTTTCTTTATTTTTCTCTGTAAAATATTAATATAAATATGATATAGGTTTGTTAGCTATGATAGAGCAATGGCTGCAGGGGAATGCAAAAAAAAAAAAAAAAATGATTCGGTCGATAATGGGGAATAAAAAAAATTAATAATTAGTGTTTGATGAAGTTTTTCAGAGAATTTTACAAATGGGGTTATCATATCTAGGTAATATTTGTATGATTACGTGCAGTGGTAGTTGCCGATCTTTAATTACTATTATGTCCTTGTGAAAGAGCTAAACGACCTTACGCAAACTCCTCAGAGATGCCAAAGAACATGCGAAAAAAAAAGAAGCAAACGACGTGCAATGCTTTAGTGCAATTTTATCGCCCTATTTTTTGGGTAATTTTTCAACTTGATCGATTTGAAAATAAAAATAATATTATGTATTACACGCATGCAATGAGAAAAATCCGGTGATATTTACGATCATTCTGACCAATGTTTATATAAATATATCCTTTTAACTTTTCGTTGCGATTGCTATTGTCAATTTGTTCTGTTACAAACTTTGAAAGGTATCATAACGTTACGATTTTGATAAACTAATGGAGGCTAAAACCAAAAACAGAACTCAAAAGAAGAAAAAGAAAAACTTATAAACAAATCGAGCATCCTATGAAAGAGCGTTGAATTTTATAGTTACTGTAATAATTTTTTCTCTTCATATTCTCTATGTATACACACACATATATATATATATTTATTTCATAGTATATAATTTTACCAAAGTCATCGATAATTTAACCTAGCACCATTTATTTTTATGATTATTAGTTTTATTAATCAAATTAATATATTATTTACTCATAGTTAGTTAGATTTTTCATTTTTTTGGATGAATTACTATCAATTATCTACACGTGATATTATTTAGAAAAGGTAACAACAATAACTTCAGTAACTGCCCACGGAAAAAAGAAAAAGTCAGCCATTCGTTGTCTTTATCTAATTTCATAAATCCCATCGATTGTATAGACTGATTACGTTCACAATATGTACGTCCTATACAGTATATCTTGATGAGATAAACAAAATATTGTGGTGACATCGAACGATCGACTCATGAGAATCAAAATACACAAAAAAATTAATAAATAAAGCTACCATCAATTATTAGTTGTATAAAGTATCTTTTACACTGAACAAAAACCTCATAATATATATTAACTATATTTTCATTTAATCAAATGAAAAATAAACCATTGTCAGTGTGTATTATACAAAGTAGCAGTTATGCATCATAACGATTTTTGTAATATCACACGAAATTAAAACTTAAAAATTAAGAAAATTTGTGAGACAGATTTGTTAGACAATTGAATTGCTTGGCAAGTTTGCTTAAAAATACTTTGTTGAGGAAAAAAAATTTAAAAAAAAAATCATGTAACCTATTTATGACTAATATCTTCGATTTTATTTAAAAAAATAAAAGTTGAAAATACGTCCTCACGACGTAGTATCGCGAAGCTTCCATCATGATCCGATGAAGAAAAAAACAGATGTACGTATGCATAGGAAATTATTATTTTATCATTGACATAATGTTAATAACCGTGTAGTAGTATTTTTGTTGAAAATTTAATTAGTTTAATTTTGTTTTTTATCTCTCTCCATCCTTTATTAATTATTCTTTAATTACGTAATTGTTTTATAATTTTATTTAAAAAAATATATTGTTTTTTTGGGAGATTGATTCTACTTTAATCACGAATAATCATAATAACAATGGATTATGGTTATTATAATCAACGGAGATAAAGAGAAAGAAAAAAAAAAAAATTATGTCATTCGTCGTTTTCACTGATATTATGAAATATTGTTGTCCATTTAACGCAAAAAATGTGTGATGATGCAATACATGTATAGCGTTACGTGTTAGTTTTTTTTTGTTAATTAAAATTAGTTGCTGCTGTACACGCATTGTGTATGTATTACTCATCATCGATTTCCTTTATTGTTACGTTTTACCTACTGCGTACCTTACGATCTTTCTGTACTACACAATAATTAATCATCAATAAATATTCTCTTCACATGTATTCAATGCATTTATAAACCGTTACTCTCAAAACATCCAACCTCATGAAACATTGCCTATTTTCATTTAATATGTTGTTTGCAACCCCCTGAGAAAATTCCATGCCAAGAAATGAAATAAAATAGTGAGCTTGACCATAAAAAAAAAGTTTAATAGTTAAATAGTCACACCTGCCAATCAATCGTATTTTCAAAACCTTTGAAACTTTTTTTACTTTTATTTATTTGCTGTTTTAAACAATTTTATTTTTCACAAAAATCGTATTACTCACTGTTTTGAGACTTATTTGCATCTTTAATTCAGATTATTAATTTTTTTAAATTAAAATATTTAATCATAAGTAATTTTATTAAATTTTTTTTATGATAATTACCGAAGAAATCAGCTACAGTAAATGAAAAAAAAAAAAAAAAAAAAAAAACCGTTTTCCGGAGCTCACTCGTGCAAGACGTGAAAATATTTTCTTTTTCAAGAAACCTCTTCCTACGTAAACCACATCGTTCTTGCTTGGAGACGAAAATATCTCCAAATTCCGAGCTCGAATGCAAATGGACGAAAGTTACTCGAGTTGGCTCATCATTACTTCATATAATCTTCGAGAAAATTCACAAAAAATGTGGTTTTCGAGTTCCACCAATAATTCTTTTCAAATAGAAACACACGACGCAGGAGGTACATGTATATAGTGCTCGGGAAAATTCAACATCAAAAACGGGGAATATCCCAGTAATGACACCGCCAGCTCTTCTACATATAGCTTTAGCCGGTACCGAATCGTTTTATATTTGAAAACCCCACGTTCCTCTAAAAAATGAAAAAAAAAAAAAAAAAAAAAAAAAATCAATAAACAAACCCCCCCCCCAAAAAAAAGCCTGCATCCATTCTTCCTCCTCCTTGCCCGTATAAATAAGCGTCTCGAAAGATAGATGTATCGCTCGCTGGATCCCTCACCGCGGAGCGATGAACCCGGCATACGAGCACCGCTGCACACACACACAGACGAGAGCGAGAGACGGAGAGCCACGCGCGCGACTGATTTATCCTTTGGAATTATCGATCGGGCCGCGAGGGTCCCGCGCGCGCGCGCACACAACCACCCGGTGACGCTGGCCAACCAGGTCTACCCCCCCCCCCCTGTCCTCGTAGACGTCCGCGAGCGCGCACCACGTCCCCCGGTCTCTTCGTATACCCATGCGCGGGGGCGAGCGGGCGTTGGTCGACCCCCCCGAGGGCGCATGCGTGACGAGTGTACACAGAGGCGAGAGAAAGAGTTGCGTGGGCGAGCTATGCGGGCTTATCGCATCGATCCGTCCCCTCCCCCGCTTTCTCGAATAGTAGGTGTATATATATATGCCGATATTGGGCCTCATGTATTGGCGGGGCCCCTCTCTTCCTTCGCTCGATACGGGGGGATATATATATATTTGTTCGGTGATTGCGGCACTTTAGCTCGAGATGCGGGGCAACGCGTAAATTAATCCAACAACCTGCTTAAACGTCCACTTTGAATCATCGTGGGTCATTTTATTGCTGGGTTACAACTTTCACACTAGCAGCGTCAGCTCGAGTGAAGCTCTTTTGGGCAACGGGTCATGTTTGGACGTAAATATTATACATACGTATATAATATATAGCGAGGGGTGCGCCCAACTATGGACAATTAAATTTTACAGAAAACCAGTGCGTATACGTGTAAAAACATATATACAAGGCGAGGGTAATGGTGTTACGACGCGCGAGCAGCAGATTCGAGCCAATAAAACAAAAAACTGTATTTTTTTAAATAGTACAGTATTGGACCGAATGATAAAAAACAAACCGGAGCGTGTCTACCTACGTGTATATAAATGTATATATACAAATGGCGAGATAATGGGTCGTGCGTATAATAAATACCACGTATACATATATGAGTCGGCCAGTCGGTTTATCGTAGCTCCAACTACTGCTTCTCGGAAAGTCTTTTTCTTATGTACCATTGTATACTTAATAATTATATATATACGAGTGGTGTCGTCGGGCGTTGGCCAACCCGCAGGAGGTACAGTACTTATCTTCATTATATCGTATCAATGTGAACCCGGTATACCGATCGCGGGTGGCTTACAAGGGTATCATATATACGTATACACACGCGCAGGCACGAAAAGATAATTGAATCGTCTTATATACTTATATGGCTCTCGTGTTTTATTGAACGTGTGATGCCTATATTATACTGACGTATACATATGTGGCTCTCTGCTTTCATCGTTCGTTCAATTACAAGTGTCAAAGGGTACATTGAGTCCAGCGTGTACGGAAATTATTTTTATCGCTTGTAAGCGCATTCGATCGTACTTGAGCTTTTGCGTTCTCATAATACGACACGTCGATGAATCGCCGGTAAAGGTCCCTCGTCTAACGCGATCGTTATTCGATCGAAAGAAAAGAAAATGTTCCCCGTCAGTGGTTTTTCTCGCAGATACAGCTGTTTTTTCGTTCTTTTGGACGTCGATGTGAAAAAATGTTATTCGACAACAATCACTACGTGACGAGCACTTTTGCAATCCATTGATCCACAGAATAGTCACTGTACACATCTCCTCGAGAGCTCCTACAAAAGGGGAAAAATGTGTATACTCGTATGCATCAGAGATCGCGTGCAGCGTTTTCCTTTTTTTTTTTTTTTTTTTTTTTTTTTTTTTTTTTTTTTGTGTATATGTAAATGAATTATTGCGCCGATCGGAACACCGCACCCCGTGATTACCTATATGTATACATCCGCGTGTGAAGGAAACGAGCACTTACGAGAAACCCGCGGACATGTCAATAATGAAGACTATTTTTACGTAATTATTATTTTAATACATATATGCATGTATATTTACATAAGGTATACTATTATGCTGGACGAGCGCAAGCACGCGCCAGATGGCCACGCATCATTATCTCGGTCTTATGTGTCCTATATGCTACAAGTTGGAGTACCTACAAAAAAAAGTAGAATATACGGTATAAGTACATAACCATGTGTATAGAAATTGCTGCGGCAAGCGAGTCTCGGGCTCGAGTTGTGATTTTTCACAGATAACGCGAGAGTTTACTCACCTATTTACTTATCACGGCGTAGTGCGTATTATTGCATGGCCGTACAACGTTGTCCCAGCATCATAAACTAACATATATGTGTATATACAGTTTGGTGTGTGCTCACAAGTATGGGTACAAACCAACCTGGCGTACCTACGGAGATAAGATTAGATTCGTCGTTCCGTTACTTACCTGTTCTTGAACAATTTTATTCAGCGTGTAATTACGTGATGGGCACTCGTCACCTCGTGGGATCGTTTAGTTTTTCTCGATGTCAACGACAGAGTTTTCATCGCTTACATACACATGCACGCAACTATATGTGCACCAACGTGTACAATATCACATTGATGTTTCATGAGTCCCTTTGTAATACACACGAAATCCTGAAAAAACCCGAGTTATCTAATAGTATAGGCGCATCCTTACTTCAAAGCTTTTTAAATTTCTTCGAATGATCAGCCGGTGGCTAGCGTCACACGAGTGAAAATTCTCTCGCTAACCGAAGAAAAGTGTATTTCTTACGTTCAAGTGACGAGAGAAAATGTCACCACGGTGTAAAAATCGTATTATACCAGTGACTGTGGGTAGGTATATTCATATACTAAATTTCGGTAAAAATTAAATTCGAAGAAATAGCAGAGTATAGTCCCCTTTGACCGAAAAAACAATAATCTCCCTTCCCTCACTGTCCATCTTTCGAGGCAAATGGACATCACCTCAACAATAGGTAAATAATCACAAAATTCATCAATAAACCCCCGATACTATGGATAATACATTTATACTCGGATAGTTGCAACGTTCATAATTGCGATGTACCGACGCAAGTAGGCGTGGCACCGAATCCCGGGCGGCCGGCAAAATGGTAGCCAGCCGCGCCCATATAGGCGCTGGCCGATCCGCTTGAGCCGTGCAAGCTCCGCCCACCGGCGCGCTTGCCATCCGCGCCGTTCTCTTCTCCGACGATGCTCTCTATGCACCATATGTATATATAGATATACACACGTATACACGAAAACGAAGTTGAATAATATGTTGTTTCCAAAAGTACAGTTAACCTGACCGTTTTGAACTCGTCAACTATAAGTATGCCAATTGCGAATCGATCACTCGAACACTATTTTTTATTTTAATGGCATATATATCCGCTCTCTTATTGCTACGTAAAATCATCTTCGATAATCACGCTGACAATGATGTATAATATACTTATGTTTTTTTCATCATTTTTTTTTTTTGTTTTTCGATATACTTTGTGCTTTACGACGGATGGCGTTTCAACATTTACGCAAAAAGGAACGCGTGATATTAATACAACCTGCAGTGGTTTTCAAGAGCTGTAAAGTCATCGACTGTTTTTTTTTTTTTTTTTTTTTTTTTAATAGATAAAGTAGTTCAAGGACTGGTGTACATACTGTTTACAAATTCGATATGCCTTTTCAAGGTGGTACAGAAACAAATAAGTACATTATTAGACTTTTTTTTAGAGGAGATATTACATTCGTATACGTGATGAGTATACAAGAGAAATGTCGGACCGGCTTTTGGGTTGTTTTTCGTGTGTAATAAATATACATGGCAACCGATTTAACGATTATTGACTTCCTGAGTTCTCGAATTTCGCTTCTGAAAATTATTTTTACTCGCATGTATTACAATGACCGCACAATTTGAAAGAAGCATATACCCAAAATGGCAGATGAATCATCTACAGCACCGAAAAATAAAGATCATTATGATGCTTCATGCTGAATTTTCTTGTACAACTATTATACATAGCTTATCACTACCATAAATACTATATTTTTTGATTGTTTTTTTTTTGTTTTTTTTTTTTTATAGTTTTAGCCAATGTGTATCATGCATAATTGATGATAATTTTAACACGTGAAAATGTTTACCCATAAAATATAATGGTGTGCGACAGAATCGTATTAAATTTGTGTTTTTGTAATATTCATACATTGCAATCACACGAACTGGAAACATATATGTATTATGGATTAAAATATAAAAGAGTTTGTTGAATTTGCAACAGGTACACTCGATGAGGATTTTTCCAACAAACGTATAAACTTACAATCAGTAAAAATATTTGATCAAAGTGCAAACTCAGTCAGAGCCAACTGTCAAATAACATTTACCTATACGTGTATTGTGTAGAGCTTATGATTTTAGACACTGCATCTTGCACGAAAATTGATGAAAAAAATTAGGGTCACATGATGCAGGTACAGCTGAAAAGAAGCAACGCGAGATTGGAATTTTCGCTTCGTCCATGTATAAGTACAATAGTTTGGAGCTCGGTCTATTTTATCCACGGGATGCGCATGCGCCAACTTCACGACTTCGAAGAGGTCGATACTACGACCGCGGGCGCGGGGAGAAGTGCAACCCCCGCGCACAAGGGATGCACTTATATACACACATACACGGAGTGCGCGTGTATTTTACAGGGGACAGGGAGAGATATGCTCTCGAGCTAATGGGCTCAAGGGTGGGCGACGCGTTACCCCCTATGGGAATGACGCGTTTCGACAACCATCTCCGGCTCGTTGTTTAACCGAGTCAATGTTGATGGAACCTTTTCAGATGATGAAAAATGTTTATCCTTTGTTGTTTCGCAAAGTCCCATTTGCCGTGATGATTTTTCAATAACTGCAGGTGTCCTTCGTTAACTTTTTTTTGTTGCACAATTCCTTGGCGTCCCCAAGAATAGCCGAGCTCGCCCAATATACACACAATTTTTTATATTATCCCGTAGACTCGTAAAATCGCAACTATTTGTCATCCCATCCTCCGCTCTGCATTCGTTGTGCCGATGAAATAGTAAAAATAATAGTAGATAATAATAGATCCAAGTTGTATAAGTCATTGTATATACATATACACGTTGCAGAGAGAGAGAGAGAGCACAAGTAGTAGTATGGGTAGGAGAAGCGAATGACGCAAGCGTCAGCGTCACCAGGCTGCACTTGGATCAGGAGAGAAGCAAAATCGAGGAGGGAATTATAATAATATATACCTATACCATCGCGATTCATCTGTGTGTGTACATGTGCTGTCAAGGCTGAGAGGCTTTCGACGTTCTCTCTTTTTTTAAGACGGAGTCCTTTACCGTAGTATATACACACGCAACACATGATTTTTTTTTTCACGCTGCACAACTCTTATTACCAAATATGCGTCTAGTGACTTTGATGGATCAAAAGAATTTATTTGTTTCTCCGTTTCGTCAATTTCAACGATATGGACATGTGTGGTTCGTGATGCGTCACTTTTTGGAAATCACGTGTTTATTTATGAGAGTGACTGTGCATTGTAATTGTAAAAGTTTTGCACGTCATTTATACTAATAAGTGGGAAAATTGATGCAATTGAGAAATTCATGGAAAACAAGAAGTAAAGAAGTAAATTGCAATGATTATGTAAAAAAAAAAAAAAAAAAAAAACTTTCACGTTTACATTGAGGGAATTTTATATAGTGCCATTTGTTTGTGATTTCCACCTTAAATCGGCTTTTGTTTAATTATGGCAGTCTAAAAGTATTGATAGTTATTCAGTAGAAAAATTTGAGTAATTGAATATTCTTATAAATTTTCGATAAAAAGACTCATCTACTGCACGCCATGCATTAAAATAGTCATTTGTCACTTTTTTGCGCCAGCTGTTGGTGAATGATCGGTGATCGGTGATCGGTGTCCTCGTTATTAGCAGCTGCCTTACGGAATAGCAGAGCCATCTCTTGGCGTGAAACTCTACACTTACCCAACATACGTATATATAGTTTTACTTTACATGAAAAAACACAAAAATCAGACGCGGCAGACAACAACGCACGATCACCGGTACGTGTTGTCTTGTTGATATCACTGTTTTAGTACTTATTAAGGTAAAGCTAAATTAACTAATGGGTGTTTTTACTAGTCGTACTTTTTATTCATCGTGTTATTAAAGTTTCGTTATTCAAAGCTGATGGCCAATAAGATCCAACTGTGGAACCCTTTGAAGGTTAAGTAATGGACAATAACACACGTTTTACGTTTGTTTGTTACAGCCCACTGTTGGTGTTTTGTTATAAATTTTCGACACAATGGATCCGGATTATTACGACGAGTTTGGTAATTACATCGGACCCGAGTTGGCGTCCGACAGTGAGGAGGAAAATGAATATGGAAATATTCACGATGATACCGAAGACAGAGATCACTCCGATGAGGAGATGGAAGAAGACAAGGACGAGGCAAATACAGAATCAAATACTATGGCAGTTGTACTGCACGAGGACAAAAGATATTACCCAAGTGCTATGGAAGTCTATGGACCAGAGGTTGGTATTGTTACAAAGAGAGTTGCCTAGAGTCAATGCACTGAAAATAAAAATTTTTTTTTCAGGTTGAGACGCTTGTGCAAGAGGAAGATGCTCAGCCTCTTGACAAACCATTGATAGCACCAGCTAAGAAAGCAAAGTTTCAAATCAAGCAGCAGCAGCTTCCAGAGACGACGTACAATATTGACTATCTGGCCGACTTGATGGACTGTCCAGATTTGATTCGAAATGTTGTACTGTTGGGTCACTTACATCACGGTAAAACGACTCTGGTTGACTGTCTCATCAGACAAACTCATCCCTACATGCATTCAGTCACGGATGAAAAATCATTGAGATACACAGACACATTGTTCACTGAGCAGCAGCGTGGCGTTTCTACCAAAGCAGTTCCAGTTTCGCTTGTTCTGCCAGATGTCAAATCCAAATCTTTTTTGCTCAATGTTTTTGATACCCCCGGTCACGTGAATTTCTCTGATGAGGCTACTGCTGCGATACGATTGTCAGATGGAGCTGTATTACTGGTTGATGCAGCTGAAGGTGTTATGCTGAACACGGAAAGGCTGCTGAAGCATGCATTGCAAGAAAAACTTGCTCTTACTATTTGCATCAACAAAATTGACCGATTGGTTCTTGAATTGAAGCTTCCTCCTCTAGATGCTTATTATAAATTGCGTCACATTATCGAGGAAATCAATAGCTTGATTGCCTTACACTCTGACACAGAAGAGCCCCGATTTGTCTCCCCCGCTCTGGGCAATGTGTGTTTTGCAAGTTCAGAGTACAACGTTTGTTTCACGTTAAAATCTTTTGCCGCACTCTATGCCAAGGATTTTCCGGGATTGAACGTGAATGAGTTTGCCAAGAGATTGTGGGGAGATGTTTATTTCAATACAAAAACGAGGAAATTCACCAAGAAACCTCCGCACAATACAGCACAAAGAAGTTTCATTGAATTCATCTTGGAGCCTTTGTACAAGATATTTGCACAAGTTGTAGGCGACGTGGACGATAACTTACATCAAGGTAAGTCATTGATTTTAAACAAACTGTTTTTATTTCTCTCTAATTTCAATTGAACCGAATAATCGTAATTAAAACTTTTTTCTCAGTGCTGGATGAATTGGGCATACGCTTGACATCTCAAGAATTGAAAATGAACATCAGGCCTTTACTCAGGCTGGTGTGTACCAAGTTTTTGGGAGACATGTGTGGTTTCGTTGACATGTGTGTTACTCACATACCAAACCCCAAAGCCAATGCTTTGGAGAAAGTGACACATATTTACACTGGACCGATTGATTCGCCTCTAGCTCAAGATATGATTAATTGCAATCCAGATGTAAGTCTCACAATTGTAATGTAAACTGACCTATTGTACAATTGATTTATTGATGAATACAAATTATTTTTAGGGACGCCTCATGGTTCACAGCACAAAAATGTATCCAACCGAAGACTGCACATTATTTTTCGTACTAGGTAGAGTAATGTCTGGAACATTAAGCGCTGGTGAACGGGTACGAGTCCTTGGTGAAGCCTATACGCGCCAGGACGAGGAAGATTCTCGTGTTTTGACTGTGGGTCGGCTTTGGGTGAGCGAGGCTCGCTACAACATCGAATTGAGCATGGTACCAGCAGGTAACTGGGTGCTCATGGAGGGTATCGATCGGTCGATCGTCAAAACCAGCACAATTACCGATTTAACGGAGTCGGATGATTTGTTCATCTTCCGGCCCCTGAAGTTCAACACTCAAAGTGTAATCAAAATCGCTGTAGAGCCAGTTAATCCCTCGGAACTGCCAAAAATGTTGGATGGCTTGCGTAAGGTCAACAAAAGCTATCCTCTGCTGGGTACGAGGGTCGAGGAAAGTGGAGAACACGTCGTTCTTGGTACCGGAGAATTGTACTTGGACTGTGCTATGCACGATCTGAGGCGCATGTATTCCGAGATCGATATCAAAGTGGCCGATCCAGTTGTTTCCTTTGCTGAAACTGTTGTGGAGACTAGCTCTCTGAAATGTTTTGCTGAAACGCCCAACAAGCGAAATAAACTCACGATGATCGCCGAACCGCTTGAACGCGGTCTGGCCGAGGATATCGAGGCAGAGCAAGTCAAAATCACGTGGAACAAGTAGGTTTTTACAAGCATTATTATAGTTAATTCATTATATATTATATTATTAGAGTTAATTCAAGGGCATATGTTCAATGGTTCTGCACAGTTGATAGACATGAAGCATTTATTTTACAGAAAGAGGTTGGGTGAATTTTTTCAAAAGAAATACGAGTGGGATCTGCTGGCTGCTCGAAGTATTTGGGCTTTCGGTCCTGACGCTACGGGGCCGAATATTTTAGTCGACGACACTTTGCCCTCGGAGGTAGATAAATCACTGCTGAATAGCGCTCGCGAAGCCATAATTCAGGGCTTCCAGTGGGGAACTCGAGAGGGTCCCTTGTGCGAGGAACCAATTAGAAACGTCAAGTTCAAAATTCTCGACGCTGTTATTGCGCAAGAACCCCTTCATCGCGGAGGTACGTATAGCACTATACTACATTCTATCGATCTTTCCCCTGTTCCATGAAGACACGCGAGAATCAATTATTTAGTTTGAACTATCAACATATTTTTACCCCCAAGGTTTTATGAAAAAAAAAAAAAACTTTGTTATACAAAATTTATTAATTACTTATTCAGGTGGTCAGATCATCCCAACCGCAAGGCGAGTCGCATACTCGGCCTTCCTCATGGCGACGCCACGTCTCATGGAACCATATTTATTCGTGGAAGTGCAAGCTCCAGCCGACTGCGTGTCTGCTGTTTATACCGTGTTGGCCAAGCGTCGTGGCCACGTCACCCAAGACGCTCCGGTACCCGGCAGCCCGTTGTACACGATTAAGGCTTTCATCCCGGCGATCGACAGCTTTGGCTTCGAAACTGACTTGCGAACCCACACCCAAGGCCAGGCCTTCTGTCTGTCGGTATTCCACCACTGGCAGATCGTGCCTGGTGATCCTCTGGACAAGAGCATAACCATCAGGCCACTGGAACCTCAGCCAGCAACTCATTTGGCTCGAGAATTCATGTTAAAGACAAGGAGGAGGAAAGGCCTGTCGGAGGACGTGTCGATCAACAAGTTCTTCGATGATCCTATGTTGCTCGAGTTGGCGCGTCAAGACGTCATGCTCAACTACCCGATGTAAAGAGAGACTGGATACCAACTCGATGTGACGTAATTTTCTTTTTTTCACCATGGAAACACTTTATCGAGCCACGCTCGGCGTGATTCTTTTTACTACATGTAAAATAGCTAGTGTTATACTTGTAATGAAATTTTATAAAACGAGGCTGACGTGTTGAGTTTGCCCTGAATTCGTGACTGTACTTGCGCGACGTGTCAATATATTTTCGAGACTTTGAATTATTGAAACCAACGGCTCTTTAATAACTTGATAGTATAGGTACTATTGATCCGAGCGTCAATTTGTACTCACGAATAATTTAGTAGTAATGAATTTTGACTAAAGTCGACGAAAAATACAATTTGTACAAAGGTTATGATTAATAAAAAAAAAATTTAAAAAAAAACGTACGAAAGTAAATGAAAATGCATAGTCAGCGAGAACCGAGCACCACCAAGTTCCCTCGTTGGCGAAGCCGAGCTAGTCCAATTTCGTTATCAGAAAACTTTCAGCTCCATCAGCTATTTTGTTTCCCCCCTGCTTGCCAGTCACGCGAACGCGTCATCATCACGCACCCGACCAACGAACCCATTTTCCGCCTACGACTGTAGAAAAAAAAAAAAAAAAAAAACGAAACCCTCGCGGACCACCGTCCTTCCTTCTTTTCCGATACATCCGAAAATTCTCCACCCATGGAAAAAAAAAAAATCGCTATCAGTCCCCCGCCCACCAAACTCAGCGGAAACGTCATGAAGCACCAGCTCTGAAACGCCAAGAGAGCCGCGCTTCTCCGAAATCTAAAATTGTCGCCCGAGCTATGCAACAAAACCGCTCGGCGGTGGTGAAAGAAGAAAAAAAAAGACACCGGCGAGAGGCTGTGCACCCATACACGACACACGTGGGATCGGAACGAAGAAGAAAAAGAGAAAGAAATCAGCTCCGGAAAACTACAGAAAGCTCTCTCTTCTACGTTATGTTAATTTTAACGCGGTATTCACGGGCGACGCGGAGAGTTATAATACACACACACACACACGCACGCGTGTACGATTAAGCGGGAATTCGTAGGGCCGTGCACGTATACAATTTGGCTCCTCTATGGGTGCTACTTGTAATTTATGCACGCGGAGGTGTATAGGCATGCATGCATTCGCGCTCACACGAAATTCTGATGGTAAATGTATAAGCTTGGATTCGGGATAAATGAAATCTGTCGGGGAAGGGAACGATGATGAGGACATTTGTTGCGCTTATACTTGATACGTATGCGGCAGCGGGCGAGAGATTCTCGTTTTGTGGTGTGTAGAAGAAAAAAAAAAAAAAAAAGGGGAAAAATCCGCTCGAGTTGCTGTAATCTCGCTCGTAAATTCATAGCTTCCTCGCGTGAGAGTATATATTTGTAATATTGTTACATCACGCGAGATCTGTTTTTTTTTTTTCTCCGCGATTTTCCCTGTTACATCGCCATCGTCAAGATTCGATTTGCATCACATGCTCTTTTTTCGGCTGGATTGAAAAAAGATTGCGCGGCGCTACAAATCTTGGACGCGGAATATGAGGGGATTCCCTTACCGATCGTGAAATCGGGTCCGCGACGATATTGTGTCGCTCCGAGAAAAGGAGTATACGTACATACACACATATGCATACGTTGGTAACGCACGGCACCGTGAACCAGTTTTGAGGCACGCGCGCGTACACTCATATATATATACATACATTTTCCAATATAGCTCTTTGTGGTGCACGAACTCTTCCCTAACCGCCACATCAGTCGTTGTAATTATATTTAGGTACATACATACACGTTGGTACCTGTGCTCCGATTTATCGTATGAAATCACGTCATTATCAACCCTAAAATTATTCAATTGTCCCAATTAGCGATGACGCGATCGTTATTTTATTTATTTTTTTTACAACGTGGATATAGCAGAGATTTTTTACACCCATTAAGTATAGCGATGATAGGTACTATCAATGGTGCCCACTCACGCTGCAGATCTCGAAGGAGGAGACGAGTCACCAGAGGACCTGCCGAACGGAGCAAAGATCGGACTATTTGTTGTTACAAGTCTTGCGTCGCTACAAAGGGGGGCGCTCTCTCTTACGTCTGGAAAAACAAATCGTCGTTCTCTTCCTCGCGCCTCAAAGTGCCCTCTCTCTCTCTCTCTCTCTCTCTCTCGTGTTAAAACAATCGGCGGCTTTCATCGAGGGAATAATGGTCCGGGAGACACCCCGTCTGACTGCTTCGGAGGGCACCCCTCCTTAAGCGCCTTTTGCGAGCAAGTGCACTCGAGGGATTTGTATATAATGGTTTACGACATCCGTCAAAAAATTTTTATGGCGTGCAAAGTATAAGTATATTGTTCGGGTTGTCAGCGTTTTTACGCGCACCCGTAAACCGGTGTACCGGCTATTACGAAATGAATCCTCCTCCCGCGAGACAATAACAGAAACTTTGGCACATAATGTCGACGCACGCACGTATGGTGGAATGAAGTTGCCCAACACGACATAAAGTCCAGAGATATAAATGAGGGTATAATATTAGACGGGAAAAATCGGAGTTTGTGTATATTATACCTGTACACTTAAGAGTTGCGAGTTAACGGATGGCGTGCAAAGGCATTTTCTCTTCTACTTCCTCCCCCCCTTCTTCTCCTCGGCCAATCGATAATCCTCCTCCATGCGATGGTATTCCGCTCAAATATTGACTCGGCAAAGGCGGCTACTACAACCATCACATGTACCCATCTATATTTCTACCCTCCGCAACTCGTGTGTATCCCCCCTATACACAGGGTTTGGGTGAAGGAGGGGTGGAAGTAAGCAGGGGGTGCTGTTAAGCATTTCATCTCTTTTTATACATTGATAGAAATGTTATGTACCTTGTATTGCTCGAGCTAGATATTTGTTACACATTCGCATAAATAGAGGTGGAAGTGTAAAGATAAATGTTTTTTTTTTTTTTTTTTTTTTTTTTTTTTTTTTTTTTTTTTTTTTTTTTTTTTTTCCAAGCTCATCGACAAATCATCTACAAAGCGAGAACGACCAAGCATTTGTACAACCTACACAAGACCGTTTGCGCGACCAACGACTCTTTAACGGTTGTTGTAAAATTTTTGTTTTTTTCTATAGGACAACCTGTAACTTAGCATGCGACATCGTTTACGTGCACAGCGGGGAAACAGAGAGCCGCTCGATATTTGAGCGAGCTTGGCACAACTATAGACCGAGTTCTCGACTCTTTTCTCATTCGGGGGTGGGTGGAAAATCGTTAAGTACCTACATAACATACACGGGGAGAAAGGATCGAAAGCATCACAGGTGGTGGCAGCGCGTGTATTATATAAATATATACTTACTTACGCGCAAGGTGGAAAAGGGGTGCTTTATCTGCCTCGTCGGTGTAAAAACGGCAGCAGCCGGCCGTGCGCCGTGCGGGAGTGGCACCCACACTGTGACGGAACCGAGAGATCGGTAATACATCGGTGTATATAAAGGTCGCGTTCGTGTGGGTGAACGTGCGCGCGTCCAACAGGAGCAAAGAGCGGGGGGAGTCTCTCTTTTGGAGTCGAGTCTCGCTCTCTCTGCAACCGCGCGAACCTCTGTGTGTATATGTATATGTAGGTAAACGTTGGACCTGGAGGCGAGAGAAGGACAGGCGTACTGTATAGGGGTACCCGTGGACGAGGGGAGCGAGCCTCCTCGCGCGCGAGAGAGCAAAAGAGACGAGGAAAAGCGGTAAGGAGAGCGCGCGAGTCGGCGGCTCGCGCTTGCCATACACACTCGCCAGTCGGTCGGTTGGCACTACACCACCACTATCGTGGGTTCCGTGCGGTAAATATACTTTACTTACCCTATACTTGATCTACCTTGTATCAAAGGTATACCCGCGGTGTGCGCGTACCTCGTACACATCATCATCATCAACAGGACCGAGAACCGAAGGGCCAGTGTCGTTAACGGTGTTGGCTCCTGCATATCCCTGCATGCATTAAAAAATACTAGTAGTACCAGCTCTTCCGAAGCCAGACTAAAAGTGTGTATATAATATATATAGCGGATGAGGCTCCGCTGTGAGTGGTGTTGCATTGGTGTGCGATATATTATAGTACCTGATGGTTGACGCGTCAAAGAGTTGTAAATCACCGTGGACCGTCGGGTAAATCGAAGGTGTGACCAGCAATTAGAGGGAAAAAGTCCTTAGGTAAAAGTGATTTATTGTTTGTCGGTGCGTGTGCAGTTTTGCTAAAAAAAAAAAAATAAAATAAAATAAAATAAGCAGCCAAAACAGAAAGGTGCGCGCGCGCGCGTGTGCCTCAGCAGTTTGTAGCGAATTTCGGAGCAGCGCGGGGGAGGTCTCTCGAGGAGGAGAGCAGCCCGCCCGCGGACACGGCAGTGCAGCGTATATATTATATATATATACACATATTTATAATGCGCTAGAGGTGGTGGACCCTCGTCCTCGACGCTCTTTCTCACTCTGATACACAATACACGGTCATGTACATTTGTTTGGAACGATAGTTTGTGGTACATAAATACATACACATATATATATTATAAGATCGCTCGTACAAGTGTCGTCGAAGTCTACCACGAGGACAAAGGTGACGAAGGATAAAGAGAGTGAGAACGGTCCAGCGAGTGTTGCAAGTGTGGAGTGTGCTGTGTGCGCGTGACAGGCTGCGAGCAAACATGAAGTCGCCGCGGCTGATGGTCGGCCCGTTGCTCCTGCTTCTGGCGGCCGTGGCTTCGGCCCAACACCCGACCTCGGATCCCGAGCACGCAGGTGAGCTACATTGTACATATGCGCCGTTCAACTGGCTCCAGGTGTTCTCTGCGTCTTCGTACACACATGTATATATTATCAGTGTATACGCTCTCTCTCTCTCTCTCGAGGCCCCCCGATCGTTCTCCTCCTTCTTCCTCTTCTCTTTCACCTCCACCTCTTGTGCGTTACACCTATGGGTCTCGTGGAGGACTCGTAAAGTGTGGTGGTAAGACGAGAAGAGGAGGAGGAGGAGGAGGAGAGAGGCGGTATTACATACGTATAAGCGTCGAGGAGGAAAAAGGAGTCCGATCGCGCGACCGAGCATTATATTGGGTATATAGAGATCGAACGAACAAACTAACGTCTGGGCCGATCGATTTTTCCGCTACGGCAGAAGAGAGAAGTCAGCCAGCGAGGAGGAAGAGCTTTCGTCCTTTTAACTGTGTGTGTGTAGGAAGCCTCTCTCCCTCTGTTACCTGCTTCTCTCTATTTGGCTTCGATGTACGACGTACATGTGGTTGTCGTGGTGTTACACACCGATACCGCTCTTAGCCCCCGTTTTTTTTTTTTAAGCTGGTCTTATACAGGTGGAACACGCTCCTGGCTCTTGTATCCCAGCGTACAATAGCATCCCCTTTTTTCACCTGTTTTCGCGGGTATAATATATACATAAATATAATGTTGTACGCTCCATCTCACGTATAAAAATATACACTGTATAGGTGTACATTGTACGTGTCGTAAGGTAAAAGTGCGTGGGCTTGCGGCATATATACGATTCTCTTTATATTTTTTACCCCTCCCCCCTCCTCCCTTTCATACAATGTTATACCTGTACGGGGTACCTACGTATCTGCTGCCTATATACCTGCCTCTTCGATTTTTCGGCTAGAGATACCAAGCGTTAATATTGTATACCTATACCCACGTATAGGTGTACGACTTACGGAGCGAAAGCAGCCAGTCAAGTCGAGCATAGCACGCGCGACGACTCCGCTTTTATACCTCCGTCTTTCTTCTCTCGCTCTCTCCACTCCACCTCGATTCGACACCTACATCAAACNTCGCTGTTGCCATTTACTTTCCCACATGCTGCACTGTACTGCTTACACACAGTTGAAATTTTTGCTTACGCGACAAATCTACAGTATATATATATTCAAGTCGAGCATAGCACGCGCGACGACTCCGCTTTTATACCTCCGTCTTTCTTCTCTCGCTCTCTCCACTCCACCTCGATTCGACACCTACATCAAACTCCCCCACGTAGGTGTACTTGATACACACACACGCGCGCGCGTATAAATGATGAAGAAGAAGAAAAAAAAAAAAAAAAAACACGTTACGAGCCAACTGTACGGCAAGCGCATCCTACCGAGGCGCGAGAGCTTTTTTTTTTTTTTTTTTTTTTCTTGACGCGATAAATAATCGCTCCCCAAACGAATCACCTCATCAACCACGAAGTGTGCCGTCGCTTCTTGAATAAAATATATTGTACGAAAGAGAGAGGGGTCGACCGCCCCCCGTCCAAGGCTGTTTCGTTCCCTCCCTCCGCGGTCGATTAGTCATATGTTTCTCCGTCTCTCGGTGGAATATGGTTCGAGTCACATCGAGATACCCCCCCCCCCTTAAAAAGGGGGAGAAGAGAGCGAATCGAAAAATGATGTTGCGTCGCTCTATACATGAGCTTTCGGAATTAAATTTCATCGCAAGCTCACGCGTACAAGGCAACCGAAGCGCGACACGCGTGTATATACACTATGGGTTCTCGTCCCGGCCATCAGCCGTACATGTATATACGGTATACCAGGGTATGTAACGTCTTCGTAGCAGCCCAAGAAAGCAGGTCTCTCTCTCATCATATACACCGTCCCGCCACTTCCCGGCAAAGCTGCTCCCTTTCTCTCTGCTTGCCTATTTATAAAAGATTTTTTTTTTTTTTTTGTCGTTTCCTCCATCCTCATCGTCGCGGCTCCATTTGGTTGACTCTCTGCGTGCTTCTTCTCCTCCGCGAGTCGGCTTATATATACCTCTCGCGGCTATACGGCAAAATGGCTTGGGTTAGCCGTGAATACAAATACACACACGCGCGCATGGGTGTACAGTTCGGTACGACAGAGAGCGTCTAAACGTGCTAATTGGCCCCATGGGTAAAGTGCCGGTATCGATTCTTCTTTTCCCCGCGCTTGTCGCACCAGGTACAAGTATAATGTAATACGGGTAAAACGACTATTTTGCGCATACATTATGATATACGTTGTGTATGCATACGTCGGATGATAACTTGTACATTATATACGGATGAGGCTCCGCTGTGAGTGGTGTTGCATTGGTGTGCGATATATTATAGTACCTGATGGTTGACGCGTCAAAGAGTTGTAAATCACCGTGGACCGTCGGGTAAATCGAAGGTGTGACCAGCAATTAGAGGGAAAAAGTCCTTAGGTAAAAGTGATTTNAAATCTACAGTATATATATATATATATATATATATAGGTGCCGGTAAAGGCGACATAGTAGGTGGAGGAGAGGCGGGGTTCGAGGTTTCTTTGTGTACATATACGTGTATTTCCAAACGATCGATGGTCCGTGAAAGTACTTAGTCACTGTATAACGACGGAGGCTTTTAGCGGCTCGAACGCTTGAAATAATGCCCTACACACCATTGTTAGGCATATATATTATATATACACCCGTAAAACCCGAAGAACGGGACGGGGGAAAGAGTGTGGCGATGAGGAGCGAAAAGCGAGAGAGAGGACCTTTTATGGCCTCTCGTATACATATACATGGACTCGCACAGGTTTATCGGTTTATCCTTTGCCTTGCGATGCGCCTCTTTTTTTTTGTTCCTCTCTCTCTCTCTCTCTCTCTCGGTCCCCCGGCAGCAGGTCTTCCAAGTTGTCTCATAAGGTGCCTATACGGATACATAAGGTATAGCGTCCTACGGAGCTTGAACCGATTGTCAAAGGGTATATGTGGCGTCTCACATCTCTCGCGCTTCAGGCTCTACTCACTAGGTGGCCAAGCCCCTAATAGTTAACTCCCGTCGACGGCGAAATTCCCGCACGGTTAAGTACCACACATAACCGCGATGGAGTCGGTTTAAGCACACACCTCTCCTGTGTCTAAGGCAGGGAGCACGTCATCGGCCTTTCTGATAAGCCCTGGCTCTATATATAGCGGTTGTTGCGGCTGTAGCTGATGTTGCATCTTGCGTTGATTCAACGATGCTAGAGGTGGAAGATTTAACTGAACCTTAACTCATCCATATTAAAATTATCTAATTTTAAATATAAAATAGTTAAACTTTTTTTTAGAATATTTTACAGCCATTTTTTGAGAACTATGCCCTATAGGCTCTGCAATGCTGTGTTTATTATGCATTTACATGCTATCGTCATTGGCATAGTAAAAAACCGCCTCAGATTTAATTGTGACATCAATCACTTACACAGCAAAGGGGACCTTATTTTACATGGCTTCCGAACCATTTGGCCACAGTTGGTAGGTAATATGCACTTAAGAAATAAGTTTCTCAGAGGTGCGAGCCAAGCGAGAGAAGGCCGAGTCTCGAACTCGTGAGCATGCGTTACCAAGCCCCCGAGCTACAAGAACTACAGCCTTTACCACTGTGCTACCGTGAAAATAGTTATACTTAATATTAGTAATTGTACACACATATTTATATATATATATGTCGTAATAAACTTACTGTGATTTTAATCACCCATTTTTATCTTCAAGTTTACGTTGGATCCGCTCACTGACAAAGATTAGTGTAAAATTTGTCAGACTAATAATTTTACTGATGACATTTGACAGTCAACTGCATACTCTCGGGACGAAACACCTTTTTCTCTTTCAAGCAGTTGACAACGATTCCTACAGGTATACGATTGTTTACAATATATAATGTTGTTGTACCTGTGAGCTTAGGCGAGTCTAGCGCGGGCAAATCTTTTCCGGATTCAAGCACGGCTGCACGCAAGAGGCCTCCGTGGAATGAAATTTCGTTCTCATTTCGCTCGATCGATTCTCTCTCCACCTTCCTTATGTACCCCAAACACATGCACGGTAAAGCCAAAAAAGCAAAGTTGACTCTCCAGGGGGAGGGGGAGGGGAAGGGAAGGGAAAAAAAAGTGCAGAATAAACCGGAAAAATCCTGCAAGTAGCAGCGAAAAAGAGAGTTAGTGGAGAGAGCGGGGCGGACTGGGTACTATGTCTATATACTGCCCCCGATAAACCAAGTTTCGAAAAAGTCAAACAGTGGAGCGCCGCACCCCCGCTGCTCCTATACTCTCTACGGCTCTGTTTTTTCAGTTGGATATAAAGACATATAGGCTATAGATACCTATACAGTGCTGTAGAAAGATGCATCAGCACCTGCGTAACCGTGGGTCGTGTGTTGGGTCCAAAAACGTTTTCGCGATCGATTTCGTGCAGCTCCGCTCGTTTTTCTTCTTCCTGCTCTCTTTTTTTTTTGCTCACAAAAGAAAAAAGAAAAAAAAAGTAGATAGAGATGGGGTCGCGGGAGAGAGGGGGGCCAGAGCTCGAAAATCGGTGTTTGCCGATATACCAGCCCCGGCAACAATGCTCCATTGTGCGGCGATCGCGCGGTGCCAAATTGCTCGGGAGTTGCACACGTATATGTATATGTGTACAGTATAGACGGGACAAGCCCCGCGCGACGCGACCAACGTTGTGTAAAAGAAACAACTTTGAAACCGAAATCGTACACCCACTTGCCGATTATTGTTATCCCTACATACATCGCTGTTGCCATTTACTTTCCCACATGCTGCACTGTACTGCTTACACACAGTTGAAATTTTTGCTTACGCGACAAATCTACAGTATATATATATATATATATATATACATACATATATTACCTACGTGTAATTTGCCAATGGATGTATTATATATAACAGGAGTTGCGGTGATTGCGCTGTGTAATCGAAATTTCACTCGATTCGACATCACACGTACATTGGGAGAGAGAGAGAGATTGGGAT